GGCCACAAGGGATCCCTTTTCTCAGGCCCCAGCCAAACAAATTCAGAAGCACACAAATTCAGAAATCATCTGCATCACCGTATTCCTGGTAATCCCCACAAGTATTTAAGTTTGGTCTCTGTTTTCCAGAGCTTTCTATTTTCTAGGTCCAGTGGCTGCTAAATGCCTCTGGAACAGGACCTTTGAGTCACTCCATCCCCAGGTGTAGGAAGAAGAGGGACCAAAACCAGTAACAGCCTGTCCTCTGAGTTATCATGCATAAAAGACACAAGCCTGACTAAACACTGTCCCAATATCAGGTGCCTTGTTAAATTCCTGCTTTTTTTTTTTTAATCAGTTCTGATTTCAGCACAATAAACATCTTTGAAGGGTTGAATGTTTTCAAGACATAGTCCCTCATCGGTATAAGCTGTGAGTAGGATCAAAAGGGATAACAATGGAGGAGTGAACCATAAGCAGTTTCTAATTGAGCGGGGCCGGCGGGGGGGGGGGGGGGGGGAATCTAAGGAGATGGTTATGCCCTGAAAAAGGAAAGAGCAAAAAAAAAGAAGAAAAAGAAGCCATGTTAATCTGTTGATTTGGAATGGCAAGGGTGGGGAAAGAGGCCTCGTCATTCTGTATCTCTGTCCACTGCCTTAAACCAAAAGAAGCCCGTTCATTTAAATGTTCATGTGTGCGCGAAGCTCTCCATTCAACACCTCCTGTCTGCCAGGCCATCCTGGGTGTCTTTTTCGGGTGAAGAAAGGGAGCAAATTTTGGGAGATCTTCCCAGGAATTCTCACTTGAAAAAAAACATCTGGGTGTTTCACATCTCTTGTGCAAAACAAACAAGTTTTTTAGTAAATGATGTGCATTGTGTTCTAAGGTAGAGTCCTAGGGAGACCAAAACAACAAACAAAATAAACATAAACAAAACCTCCAACTGTCAACGCGATTTTACTGGCTTCCATGGTTCTTCACAAGGTGTGGGTGACGAGTTGCAGGTTGTTTCAGGATCCCCAGCCTGTGTCCAGATCATCCAGTAAGCACTGCAGTGTATGAGGGGCTGGCACCCTCCCCCCGGGGCTCCACCACGGGCACACAAATCCCTTCTAAATGACACCCCTGGAAAGAGATCTACAGATCTCACTTGTCTATATTTTGCTTCCTCCTCATGATTACCCCCCTCCCTTGCAGCCCAGCTACCCCGAAAACCAAATGAGTTGTTCTCTAACTGCACCGGAAAATCAGAATTTATTGTACATATGTTTGTGTTCCACTTAATAAAAAAACCTATATTTTAAGATAAACTTTGTTAGTAATTCATGAGGTAAGTGACTATTTATGCTAATCAGGCAGAAATATATTCTCAAGCATAATGCATTACATAAATTTGAATGCAAAATGTTCAATTATGAAGTAAATACAGGTAATGCAAATAATAAATTACCTCTAATAAAAATTATAAAAGATGTGCCTTCAAAGAGAGAGTGGCTTTAACTTACAACTGTGAATTGCTTAAAGAGAAAAGAATTAATAAATGCTGAATTACTCTGATGATTATTTAGCACATAATTCACCTATTCATAACGACTCCTAGTAATCAGACTGTTGTTTCACATTCTCCAATATGAGGCAAGACTGTTTCCTCAGCATTTTACCCTTATCAGATTATCTCGTCTGATTCTATTAATTTTCTTCCATGAATCTGCTAACAGTGATTTGTGATTTACTTACCCTGCTAACTAAAGACTGTTAAAAGGATTTATCTAACACTAGACCTAAGAACACTATATGTCTTATCATTCAGTTACTCTGAGCAACTCTTTCCTCAAATCAATTTAGTTGCTTTCATAGTGAACTTTAGTGATACTGGTTAGTTCTGCACCATAAAATCAGCTCCTGGATAAACAAAGAGTTCAGACACGACACTTGATGCATCTTGTTCTTTTTAGATCATATATGTCTGATTCCAACGTGATATACCTGAGTTGCTATAACTCACAATCAGGAAAAATATATTATTTTTAGATTTTCATCATTGTAATTTGGACATGAACAAGTTTTTCTCTTTCTTTCTTTCTTTCTTTTTGCATGAAGTTCTTCTGTAGGTACTGACATGAAACTACAATTGTGTTTTTGATGTTATGGTTTCGCAATCTTCTACAGGATTCGACCCATCCCCTCCCCCCTCCACATTCTTCTATAAATATTCACTGCTTTCAGAAACTTTAATACTACTGGTTTGAATTGGTCAGTAATGACAAACGCATGGTTTCTAAATTACTCTATATTGTTCTACAGAGATTACTAGAGTATATATAGCAAGGGGATATTAAGCAGTAAGAAAACACAGTTCACATTGTATTTGGATTAGGCTGGCTTGGAAGAAGTGAAACAAACAATGTTCGCAAAGAAGTCTAAAGAAATGTGGCCTTGCTGTAATTGTAGAGAATCAAAAATCTGAATAGTACTAATTAAAATGAGAGAGCTCAATTGTTACAAAAGAAACGCTGCTAACAGAGAACTGTAAATGTTTAGACACCCCTGTGAATCACTAAATAATAAAGCAAAAAGGACAAACACAAGAATTAAGTTAAAAGAGCACTACTGCTACACGTCTAAAAAAATAATTCTAATCCTCTTTTTTTCAAGAGAAAATGGGAGGCTGTAAAAGACTCTGCAATAAGAGAAAGAAAAATCCCATGGCTTGACAGCAGTGTACAAAAATAAACCATAAAAAATGTGCAGATAATAATACATTTAGCTGCCCAAACATGGGCATTTAATTTCTAGAAATGATATATAATTGCAACAATTAGGTGGACGGCCATGAATCTGTATCCCTTGGTCTTCCTCATTAGCAAACTTTGTTTATAAATGTTGTTTATTTATAAGTGTGGCAGTTTCAGTGTTCCTGGCCAAAAATACTTTCAAGAGAGGCAGGAATCCTATCTTATAGCTTTTAACAAAAATATGATGCAAAAGGATAAAAAAAAACCCAATTATTACAAACAAAAAAAATGAATTAATTCTTCCTACATACACTTATATTCATATTTTACATGAAAAACATAAACTTCAGATTTTTGTGGCTAATGATTAAAAAGCCCTGGAAAACTATCACTATGGACAATGCTAAGTGACATAATATGTCTATGTAATTTAAGCAGTGGATTTTCCTCTGAATACATAAACTATAATCTCTTAACTTCATTACTAGGTAAAATACTGTTTGAGAGGAGGAAAGCAAAGGAATCCTGTTAGATTGCATAAATATTGACATAATCTTCACTCTTTTTTCCCAACTGGCAATAGATATACTTCATTCCCGCCCTACAAAGTGCTCCCATAAAACCAAAACTATCCTTATAAACAGCTTCTCTGCAGCAATAATGAAAAGGAAAAAGTCCTTTTCTGGAAAGTACCAATGGCACTGGCCTTTTAGGGTTATGATGTGCCTACAAACCTTTTGGGGAGCCTCTCATTAGGGATTCTGGGTCTGAAGCAGCAAAGAAATTAACACAAGTCTAATCTGGTATAAGAAGCCAATGAGTGACACCTAAGGTCTCATTATAAATAGCAAAGTATGCCGTGGGGAGGGTGAGAGCAGTTCTGAAGTGCAATGTTCAAGAAGCTGGCTTAATATATGACTAAGTGTCAGAAGTCAGGTTTTTTGAGAATTACTTTTCAGATAAACAACTTTATAGCACTGCACTTAATCATCTTACTAGAGGCATCTCATTTATCACCGGATTACAAGTAACTTTAATTCTATTGATATTGCCATAAAGCCCCGTTCAAAATCCATCCTGGCACTTTTAAAGGGTTTAGGGCCCTGTTACATGGGATTCACTTGCAAAAGTCTCTCAGCAGAATCATACTCTGAAGGCTTCTGTGTCTCCTGGCCTCTTTGTTGACAATCAAGGGGGACATTAGGGAAAAAGGATTCCTGACCCTGCCAGCACTGTCCTTAGCACCTTTCCTACCAGGTTGGGTTCTCCCACTGCAGTCAAACTCTCTGTGCTTCAGTCCCCCTCCCACCTTGGGAAACCAGCTTCTTTTCACTTCATCAACAAAACTGGACACGGATCAATTTCAACTGACCTTTGCCGAAAGGTGGCGCTGTTGAGGTAAAAATCCAACAATAGTTTTCACTGGGATTCTTTAGCAGGCTTTTCAGATTTTTTTTTTTTTAAGTGCGCCCTCCTAGCGTCTCCCCCTCCCGTAAAGTAAAATAAATATGATTAACACCAAATGCATTTCATTAATTGGAGGAATCAACAGTCTCAATATCCAAGTAGGCGGGCTGGTCTTCCAAACGCTGGGTTGGCTTGGCTCACGCTTGTTTTCCCCCCAGTAAATCTCGGTTTCTCCGACTTGCCTATCGCTTTAAAATCTTAGAAATAGTTGTTGGTTCTTTCTTTTCTCTTTTCTGTTTCTTTCTTTCCTTTATCTTTTTTTTTTTTTTTTTTTTCATAAGCTTTAAAAGATTCGGTCTAGAAAACTGAATAGTTATTAGCATCTGCAACGGGGAGGGGGAGAAGCAGCCCCCCACCCCACCCCCACTGTGGGTTTCCGGGCCGGTCCGAGAAACCGCGGTTTAAAACTTAACCCTTCGAGGGGTGCTGGCGAAGGCTGGGCTGTTGTTTCCCCCCAACACATACACCCCTTGCTCCTCTCCACGGCCAAGTCTGAAATAAGTGAAATATGAAAGTGCAAAGGGCACGCGGGACCCTGATAAACAGGGGTCAGATTTCCTAAGGGGGTGGGTGTGCGTGTGTGTGTGTGTGAGAGAGAGAGAGAGAAAGAGAATGAGAGAGAAAGAAAAAGAGAGAGAGAGGAATATGAATATGAACCTCAAAGGCCAAACTCGGGCCAGTGTCGGAAGCCAGAGGGCTGAGCTGGGCTGACCCGGCTCCGAGCTTTCCGGGAGCTAACTCGCGTAGTCGTTTGCTCCCCCCAAGGGCACGCGACGCCAGCGGGCAGCCAGTCCCCGCGCGTAATGGCCCCTGGACAACTTATTTCCTCTCCTTCAAAGAGGACGATAAAACGGGCTTTCTCCACGCGCGGACCCGGAGCCACTCGGGCTGCGCCCGGCGAGGCGGCGTCCTGCGCGCAGTCGGGACCCTGAGTCCCCCGCAGCCCTGCGCCCCAGCGCGCGGGCCCCGGAGAGAGGGACAAAGAGTTTGCGCTCTTTGGCTCAAAGGGCCAAGTTTGAGCTCCCCGCACAGCTATGCTCGGGGAAGGCATGTTCCCCGGGGCAGACACCTGGGTGCCAAGCAGGAGCAAGGTGGAGAAGATGAGCGAATTCACAGTCCCGCGGATGGGGGCTGCCCAGGAAAGGGAGTCAGGCCAGTCCCCGCCGAGGGAGCGGAGGGCAAGCCGGCGCTCCGGAAGGCAGGCCTCTCTCGCGCTCCGAAGTAAAGCAAACCGGCCTCCTGGTCCTACCGGATTCCCGCAGTCCCTCTGAACTACTTCCCCTCTCACACCAAACTTTGCGCCGGGCTTTTCTCCCTCCCCGGGAGGCTGCGGCGCGGGAAGGGTTAAGCCTGCTTGTCCCAGCTGACAGTCAGCTGATTGGGCCCTGATTGACAGCCCCGAAAAGTTTCCTTGTTTCTATCTATTATGCTAATCGCGGCCGCTCTCGCCGCCTCCCATTGGCCCGGAGTACCAGTCAATTTCCCATTTGGGCCTGACGTCACAAGTGCTATAAAACTCAGCAATTGCTTTAAACTCTTCTTGCTGGATCAGAGGCTTTAAAATCTTTTTTCATCTTCCAGCTGAAGCTCGGGCTGCTCTTCGGCTCGGCCTCCCCCCTTTTGCTCTCTGCCTTGCCTTTCCCCAGGACTTCGCTATTTTGCTTTAAAAAAAAAAAAAAAGGCAAGAAAGAACTAAACTCCCCCCTCCCTTTCCTCCAGCCGGGCTGCACCTCTGTCTTGCACTTTGCACGGAGAGCGCGCGCGAGGGAGAGAGAGGAAAGAGAAAAAAAATAAAAAGAGCAGGCAGAAGAGAAGGCAAGAAGCATGAAGTGTTAACTCCCCCGTGCCAAGGCCCGCGCCGCCGGACAGCCGCCCGCCGCGCCTCCAGCCCCGAGCGGCCGCCGCGCGCGCCCCGCCTGCAGCCCGGGCCGGCGAGGCGAGCCCTCCTTATGCAAAGCGCGCAGCGGAGCGGCGAGCGGGGGACGCCGCGCACCCGGCCGGGCTCCTCCGGCTTCGCCGCCGCCGCCACCGCAGCCCGCGGAGGACCTTCCCGAGCCTGAAGCCGCCGGCTCGGCACGCACGGAGGCGAGCAGGCGAGGAGGGGCCGGGGCGAGTGAGCGAGCACATTGGCGTGAGCAGGGGGGAGGGAGGGCGGGCGCGGGGGGCGCGGGCAGGGCGGGGGGTGTGTGCGCGCTCGGAGGTTTCGGGCCAGCCACCGCCGCGCGAGCTAGAAGCGCCCCAGCCCGGCAAGCTGGCTCACCCGCTGGCCACCCAGCACAGCCCGCTGGCCCCTCTCCTGCAGCCCATCTGGCGGAGCGGCGGCGGCGGCGGCGGCGGCGGCAGGAGAATGGCATCAGAACTGGCAATGAGCAACTCCGACCTGCCCACCAGTCCCCTGGCCATGGAATATGTTAATGACTTCGATCTGATGAAGTTTGAAGTGAAAAAGGAACCGGTGGAGACCGACCGCATCATCAGCCAGTGCGGCCGTCTCATCGCCGGGGGCTCGCTGTCCTCCACCCCCATGAGCACGCCGTGCAGCTCGGTGCCCCCTTCCCCCAGCTTCTCGGCGCCCAGCCCGGGCTCGGGCAGCGAGCAGAAGGCGCACCTGGAAGACTACTACTGGATGACCGGCTACCCGCAGCAGCTGAACCCGGAGGCGCTGGGCTTCAGCCCCGAGGACGCGGTCGAGGCGCTCATCAGCAACAGCCACCAGCTCCAGGGCGGCTTCGATGGCTACGCGCGCGGCGCGCAGCAGCTGGCCTCGGCGGCCGGGGCCGGCGCCGGCGCCTCCCTGGGCGGCAGCGGCGAGGAGATGGGCCCCGCCGCCGCCGTGGTGTCCGCCGTGATCGCCGCAGCCGCCGCGCAGAGCGGCGCGGGCCCGCACTACCACCACCACCACCACCACCACGCCGCTGGCCACCACCACCACCCGACGGCCGGTGCGCCCGGCACCGCGGGCAGCGCGTCCGCCTCGGCCGGTGGCGCGGGCGGCGCGGGCGGCGGGGGCCCGGCCAGCGCCGGCGGCGGCGGCGGCGGCGGCGGCGGCGGGGGCGCGGCGGGGGCGGGGGGCGCCCTACACCCGCACCACGCCGCCGGCGGCCTGCACTTCGACGACCGCTTCTCCGACGAGCAGCTGGTGACCATGTCGGTGCGCGAGCTGAACCGGCAGCTGCGCGGGGTCAGCAAGGAGGAGGTGATCCGGCTGAAGCAGAAGAGGCGGACCCTGAAAAACCGCGGCTATGCCCAGTCCTGCCGCTTCAAGAGGGTGCAGCAGAGACACGTCCTGGAGTCCGAGAAGAACCAGCTGCTGCAGCAGGTCGACCACCTCAAGCAGGAGATCTCCAGGCTGGTGCGCGAGAGGGACGCGTACAAGGAGAAATACGAGAAGTTGGTGAGCAGCGGCTTCCGAGAAAACGGCTCCAGCAGCGACAACCCGTCCTCTCCCGAGTTTTTCATGTGAGTCTGACACGCGATCCCAGCTCGCCACCTTGATAAGTGCTCCGTGGGGGTCCGACTCGGGTGTGGGCTTGCTAGTTCCAGAGCCGTGCTCGCCGCCACCTCGCCCCCTCCCCTGCGGAGAGTGCCCGATGCCCCTGCACACACACACACACACACACAAACACGCGCGCGCGCGCGCACACACACACAACACACACACACAACACACACCCTGCTCCCAGTTGGCGGTGGTGGTGGCTGTTTTTAAATGGGGAGGGAGTGGATGTCTGGCTCATGGATTGCCAATCTGAAATTCTCCATAACTTGCTAGCTTGTTTTTATTTACGCCCCCCCCCCCCCACACAATGTTCAAAGATCTCAGCAGAGTTCTTCATGATCACTTTGAAGCCTGCATCATTCACAGTGTTTTTTTTTCTTCTCAGTTCATGAGCTGGTGTTCATTTTCTGTGTGTGTGTGTTTTATTTTGTTTGGATTTTTTTTTTAATTTTACTTTTTGGAGCTTGCTGTGTTGCCCTATTTCCCAGCCTCCACCCTCATGCCCTCTTCACCCATCTCCTCAGAGATAAAAGAAAAAAAAAAAGCTAAGTTTTTTTTCCTCCTCCTGAGTTCTTCATGTGAGATTGAGCTTGCAAAGGAAAAAAAATGTGAAATGTTATAGACTTGCAGCGCGCTGAGTACCATCGGGTTTTTTAGCATTGTTATGCTAAACTAGAGAAAAAAAATCCTCATGAACCTGCCACAATCAAGCCTGCATCAACCTTCTGGGTGTGACTTGTGAGTTTTGGCCTTATCATGCCAAATCTGAGAGTTTAGTCTGCCATTAAAAAACTCATTCTCATCTCATGCATTATTATGCTTGCTACTTTGTCTTAGCAACAATGAACTATAACTGTTTCAAAGACTTTATGGAAAAGAGACATTATATTAATAAAAAAGCCTGCATGCTGGACATGTATGGTATAATTATTTTTTTTCTTTTTTTTTCCTTTTGGCTTGGAAATGGACGTTCGACGACTTATGGCATGGCATTCATACTTTTGTTTTAATTGCCTCATGACTTTTTTGAGTTCAGAACAAAAAAGTGCCACCCTAGAGCCTTCTTCCCATGAAAGTTTGCATCTGCTCCAAAACTGCTTTGAGTTACTGAGAACTTCAGCCTCCCATTGTAAATGCACTGAAGGCATTCCTTGTCAAAGATGCCAGAATGGGTTAAAAATTTAACATGGCAAACATTAAAAGAACTCTTAATGTTTTCTTTTTAATAAGAATGACCCCCCACTTTGGGGACTAAAATTGTGCTGTTGCGGAAAGCAGTCTAAAATTTATTTTTTAAGAAAAAAAGAAATCTGCCCCGTTATTTTTGGTTTGTTTTATTTTTATTATTATTATTTTTTTTTTTTGGCTTTTGGTCATTGTCAAATGTGGAATGCTATGGGTTTCTAGTATATAATTTAATTCTAGTTTTTATAATCTGTTAGCCCAGTTAAAATGTATGCTACAGATAAAGGAATGTTATAGATAAATTTGAAAGAGTTAGGTCTGTTTAGCTGTAGATTTTTTAAAAGATTGATGCACTAAATTGTTTACTGTTGTGATGTTAAGGGGGGTAGAGTTTGCAAGGGGACTGTTTAAAAAAAAGTAGCTTATACAGCATGTGCTTGCAACTTAAATATAAGTTGGGTATGTGTAGTCTTTGCTATACCACTGACTGTATTGAAAACCAAAGTATTAAAGGGGAAACACCCCTGTTTATATCTGTAGGGGTATTTTACATTCAAAATGTATGTTTTTTTTTTCAAATTTAAAGTATTTGGGACTGAATTGCACTAAGATATAACCTGCAAGCATATAATACAAAAAAATTTGCAAAACTGTTTAGAACGCTAATAAAATTTATGCAGTTATAAAAATGGCATTACTGCACAGTTTTAAGATGATGCAGATTTTTTTACAGTTGTATTGTGGTGCAGAACTGGATTTTCTGTAACTTAAAAAAAATCCACAGTTTTAAAGGCAATAATCAGTAAATGTTATTTTCAGGGACTGACATCCTGTCTTTAAAAAAAAAAAATGAAAAGTAAATCTTACCACAATAAATATAAAAAAATCTTGTCAGTTACTTTTCTTTTACATATTTTGCTGTGCAAAATTGTTTTATATCTTGAGTTACTAACTAACCACGCGTGATGTTCCTATGTGCTTTTCTTTCATTTTCAATTCTGGTTATATCAAGAGAAAGAATAATCTACAATAATAAACTGCATTTTTTTTTTTTTTGATTCTGTGCTCAGTTTCTTAGTGTACAGTTTAACTGGGCCCAAAACCGCATTAGAAGTGTAAAATGCATCCTTTTCTCCACAGGAAGAATTAATGGAGGTGTAGGGAGGCAATAAGTCAGGGTGAAACATAGGCTATTTTGTGAGGTGGGAGGCCAGTCCGTTTGAATAATTAGCAATATTTAATATAAGTGTAAATTATGACCTCTCAAAATGCATCCCTCCCTCCCCCCCTCCAACAAAGTCTTCAGTTTTCAAGTGAGTTGAGACATCATTGCCCTCTGGTGAAAACAAACAAACAAAAATCCAAACCAGAGAGTAGGGCCTTCTCAGCATTGTCCTCAGCTTCTGGTCCAGCAGCAAGCCCATCTAGAGAGAAATGGGCCAAGCAAAGAAGTCATGGCAGGAGGTGGCTTGGGCACATATGCATTTAATGGTAAAGATAAACAATTCTTGCCTTTTAGCTAAAATGGATTGTTTTTCCTTCTTCCCTTATACACCATGATTTTCTTGTTAGCAAGGCCTGACCCAACTTAACATCAACACTTTGGACAAATCAAATTGTTTGTTTGTTTTTAACTTTGAAGGTCATTTGTCTTAAATAGGAAAAAGAAAAACCCATCCCTTACTTACATAACCCCAAGTACATATCTGGGTTTAAAAACTGTGTTACTAAATCAAATTTCACTGTGAGTATTTAGCAGAGGGGGCCTCTCCACTTAGACAAGCTGACGATGATTTCAGATCACCTTAACTCCAGAAATATCAGCAAAAAGTAATGCCTTGATAGAATCAAGGCTGTGCTCTGATCAGTACTTACCCCCAAACAGGCTGTGTATCGGAGGCTCGCTTCAAAGATGACTTGGAAAGTCTTGAGCTACCTTCACTAACGGCGTTGACCTATTTTAAAATGACATAAATTCATGCAACTAATGTTACAAATTCATGCAGTTTGCACTCCTCATCAACTTCCCCTAGAATGCTAAAAGAATGTTAGACAAAGCCAACACTGTTTTGAAAATATAGCCAAACACGATGACTTTCGTTTTATTTTGTGTTTGGTGTTTTTTGTTTTTGTTTTGTTTTGTTGTTTTTTTAAGATAATACTGCAACTCTGAACGAAGGCCTTATTTTGAAGAAAACAGGTTGTGTTTGGCGCGGATGAGTTCTGGGCAGTTGATCACCCTGTCTTCCTTCCCCTTTTCACAGAACGCGAAGACAGTGTATACCCACTGCATTTTGACCTTCCTTTATGTGCCAGTTTGGATAGAACTCCTGACTCCACACGTAATTTTGCTTAACAAAAGTCTTCATAGTAAACGTACTTCCATGCGCTCGAAGTTAGCTCTTCTCTGCTTCTGAGGTTTGGGTTTTTTTTCTCTGATCCCAACGAGGAGATAGGCAGTTTCCCCCTCCAGGGGCAGAAACGGAGATATATCATTTATGCAAAAAGCTCAGCATCAGATGAAAAGCTTTCAGGCAAACACATTCTGAAAATAAGAGTGCCATTCAGGATGGACTCACTGTAGTCACCTCCTGAGGAACAGGACTTGGGAGAAAAATAGTTGTGCCACATTTAAGCATTTTGATAGGACTCGACAAGGCAGTTCACTATAATAAGTGGGTTTGGGCCCCAAACAGGAGAAAGCAAAGAGGCGCTGTAGAAAATGGGGTTGGGTGACTGGCTTTAAGAGAAGGTTAACTCCTTAGTGAAAGGCAGTTCTAGATAGAACCATGACTAAAAACTTTGAAATGTAGTATGAGAGGCAAACACAAATACGTATGTTTTGGGTGTTGTTTTTTGTTTTGTTTTGTTTTGTTTGACAAAGAAATCCTAAATTCTGCCTAAGTGCCCCTAGTAGAAATAAGTCTCTAAATTAAAAAAATAAATAAATTCTGTAAGGAAATCTAGCTTTTCCTTTCCACTGCATCTGAGTCTTTGTCTAAATAGTGTTAAAATTCCTTTCATTCCAATTACAGAACCGAGCCCACTCGCAAGTTGGAACCATCAGTGGGACACGCCACATTTTGGAAGCCCCAGCAATGTGTACTTACAGTGTATTCACAAAAAGACATTTCTGTGAGAACTGTACATTAAAAATTCATTATTATTGTTTGCAGCCTCAGAGCACACCCTGCCCCTGACTTCCGTTTAGTCTCCTTCTTGCAGAAAAATGATTGCGTTAGAGAGGAAGGGTAGTAGGGGTATAACCTCCGTGCTATGAACTCTGCCTCTGGTCCGAGGGTCTTTCTGTGCCAACCTAGAGGAAAGCACACGGGTGCTTCTGGCCTCACGGCGCTTGAAACTAAATAGGTGCCATTGTTGTCAACCTGCAAGATTAGTTTTTAAAATCCACTGAAATTTAAAGGAGATCTATATGTACATTTCTACGGAGAGAAGTTTCCCAGAAGGTAGCAGCTAGCGTTTTTGAAACATATGTAGACACGCACACTCCAAATAGTACTTTTTCACACTTCGTTTTTTCTCTGGCAGATAATTTTACTAAGAAGAAAAATACACTTGCCTCCCCTTCCCCAAGCAGATGCCATGGGCAGAAGCTTTAGCCGAGCCCCAGCACCCTGGCTTTCTGGTAGGCCCTGGATAGTATTATATTTATCAGTGATGCCAAACGTGTTCATTTATCAGACATAGTTGTAAATGGAAACAGCGTGTGGTCAAATACAAAGTTAGTTAAACCACACCCTCCGTGTGCTTTTTT